AAAAAAAAAAAAACTAAATAGTAAAAGTTGTCAGACAGGCTGTTAGGTTTAGATAGAAATGTTCTAGGGGATATACATTTTAAATTGATCACAGAAGGCATGCTCCTTAATCAATTTTACCTTTCTTAACCTCAGGAAAGCCTTTAAATTAATACTTTTTTTTTTTTTTTCCCCAACTGCATCATGTTCATGATCACAAAGCAATAAACTTTGATTCTCTAAGGCAACAAATAAATAACCATGGAGTATAGAATTGGCTAATGTATCTTCCATGATCATTTTTCTTCTACCTTTGTATATGATACCACATGTAAAGGTTTTAGGGAGAGAAAGTATTATGGAGGGAGACAGTTCAATTCATCTTTACTCTAGAATGCAATACAATCAATTGTAGGGCTTGTTAAAACATAGTTGCTGGGTCCTACTCCCAGAGGTTTTGATTCAATAAGTTTTCAGTGGGGCCCAGATGGTACTGATGGTGCTGGTTCAGGACTCACACTTGGGAGATCAATCTTCAGGCGCCAGGGTAAGCAACTATGGCCCATGAGCCAAATCCAGCCCATAATCTGTTTTTGTTTTTAAGTTTGGTTGGTACGTAACCCCTTTCATCTTCTCTTTATATATTGTTTTCTGCTGCTTTCAGACAAGATGCAAGTAGTTGTGACAGACAACATATGGCCTGCAAAGCCTAGAATATCGCCTATCTTATTTTTTATAGAAAATGTTTGTCAATGTCTCCTTTCTCTAGAACATTACCCCCAGAAGTTAGCTGCATATTGTCAGATTCACATGCCTAAGTAACATTTAATCTATTTACAACAGCTGCACACAAAAACTGTTAAAATTATAGACATTCTAATTTAAAAGAATATAAAATGTTGAAATAGTGATTCATTATTCTTATGACACCTCTTATAAAATTAAGTCATATATTTCCATTTCATGAATGAATTCACTCTTTCATTTTGCTCTTTATTAAAGATCTAATCTCTATCTGAGAATAGTTTTCACTAAAAAGTAATATAATTTTAATTCTTCCTAATGAGAACCACTACATGGTTGAGGAGAGATGCTAAAGCAAATAGAGGAAATTATGAAGTAAAAGAGCTGAGCAGAAGATTTCAAAGGACAGCTCAAGAAGACAAAGTGAAGTATTATAATGAAATGTGCAAAAAGCTAGAGTTAGAAAACCAAAAAAGAAGGACATGCTCAGCATTTCTCAAGCTGAAAGAACTCAAGAAAAAATCCAAGCCTCTAGTTGCAATATTGAAGGATTCTGTGGACAACAGATTGAATGATGCAGAAAGAATCAAAAGAAGATGGAAGGAATACACAGAGTCACTGTAGCAAAAAGAACTGGTTGACATTTGGCTATTTCAGGAGATAGCATATGATCAAGAGCCACTGGCACTGAAAGAAGAAATCCAAGCTGCATTAAAGGTTGTGCTAGTTCAGTTTGTGTGTCACCTTGGCTGGGCCTGGCTGAGTGGCTGGAAAGCTGGATGTAGTATTCCCCATGATGAGACTGGGAATCAACTCCATGGTGAAATCTACTGTGAGCAGCTGAGTAGCTGCCTTAGGGAATGTGGTCTGCTTCCTGAATATAAGCAGAAGCCTTGGGGAATGGTCTCTAGCTTATGGCACACTTGGACCTTGCATATAGCC